AGAAAAAAAAAAAAAAAAATGCAAGAATATAATACTATAGTTATTACGAGAATCTTTATCTTTACTTGACACAAAATCTAATTTGATCTAAAATAATCAGTTTTAATCATTGTTTGTTTGGTATAAATGGAAATTTGAAAGATCAAGGTGATAAAAATGCAGAAGTAAAACTAATACAAATAACGGAACACCTTAAGTTATCATCTTGCTACATGTACATCTAAAATACTTTACTACGGGAATGTATAAAAATGGATGTTATATTTATCAGAATTAAAGCTCTACCTGTAAACCAAAAACTATTGTTTGAGAAGGTTTTTATAAAGTGTTGTACACTTTAACATCTGCCATACTTTAAAACTTTGGAGCAATCGATATTAGATAGTGATACGTTGCTTCAACGGTGGCTCGATGTATGTAACTATAAATGGCTGTATATAAATCCATGTTATTATTATCATGATTAATTTACCATTATAAATTTAGTTTAATTATAATACATTAAAATCCTATTTAAATCATACAAATTATGTATGGTACTGTTTTTGTCTTTTTAAAAATTAGAACATAACACTTTCAAGGACGGTCTTTAAGTATTACACATCATTATTCCAAGGAATGACAAGTTTAAAAAATTCTTTTATAAATAGTTCAATTTCAGTGCATGGACAGGATTGCACTACAATGGACGGTTTAGTCAATTTTGAGGCAGAAATAACACTTTACAGGAGAAAACGTAATAACACACTTAAGTCAGGAAGACTTAAACAACTTTGTCTCAATTCAATGGTGTATTTATGAAGGATACCATCAATAACATATGTTGTTTTACATACATATAAATTATCAATGTCATTATTGTTATTGTTATTATTAATATTGTGTTATTGGACGGTTAAGTATTTGAAATATAGCAGTAAATATCATTGAAACATGATTATACAGACTGGATTTATCAACAATAATTTCACCTTTAAAAATTTTAATAAAATCCCAGGAATGTAATTGATTTATTCTTAATTACCTTATATGAAAATATTACAAATATTCTGTATATTTGTGTGAACAATGTTTAAAATCATGCTTCAATGAAGTGGAATTATAAAAACTGAATTTATTAACAATAATTCCACCTTTAGAAATCTGAATAAAATCACAGGAACATAATTGATTTAGTCTTAAGTTACATGAAAATATTACAAATATTTTGTATATTTGTGTGAATGATGTTTAAAACTCAGGCTTCAATGAAGTGGAATTGTATGCCACTGGTTGTACTGATAATATAGAGTTTTATCTTATGTCTATGTATTAATGACAAGTGTTTTAAATACCACAATATTAGCTATGAATATATATACAAATAAAAAGTATTATGGAACCTCATACATTCTACTAATCATTTATATGTTCAATTATATGTTAAATTTGCGAGGATGTAGTATTTCCTTGAATTTTGCTATTGAATATTTGTTAAAAATCAATAATTACATTACTTTAGCCTAGTCCCTTTAATTTGTTGCGTGCGAACGAAGATTGAGCGTGACGTCAGACTTGTCCCACGGTGTGTATACCGCTCACGCAGGCTGTGAAGTTTTTGTAAAACTTTTTTTCGCGCGCGACGAGCGAAACTGGTAAATCACTCGCTCATATTTTCGTTCAGTGTCGACAATGGATTTTATAACGCCGTAATATATAGTTCGAACCGTATTGTACTGATGATGAAAGCAGCAGCAATGAAGGAGAGGCGGGAGGAGAGAACAACAAAATAAATCAAGAAGAACTAGGCCTAATACCGATTGGTAAGTAAAACATGGCTATTTATTAGCTAACAAACAGTATTTTATATATATATTATAGATAGGCCTAGGCTAGGCCCGCCTATCCTATCTGCCCCTAGGCCTACCTACTTATTTATTGTATTATTTATCTGAGCATTCTAGGCCTAGGCTGGATGTCTGATAATTATACTTCTATTTAGGGCCTAGGCCCTATCCCTAAATATTGCGAGACATTGTTGCATTAGGCCTAGATAACGGTGCCAATCGGCGATTTTTAGTTGAAATAAATATAATCATGAACACTAGGCCTAGGCTAGAGCTATTATTATTATTAAGCCCCTAGGCGTACCTAGGCCTAACTCTAAAGTAGGGGCCAGGTCTATTATGTTGCACTACTTGGCATCGTCACATAGCCTATACATTACTGTATTCCTTTAATAATGTTACGTTGCCAAAAATATTCCTATATACAATATTTTAAAGACTCCAACATTGTCATTACATGTTTACAGTACTTAAATTAAATTACATAATAGTGTAGGCCTAGTTTTATATCCGCACATCATCTAATGTAAGGTGCTCAAGGCGCTTGATATGTGGACTAGGAACGAACTCGATGAATGGATCGATTATTTGTGTACTAAATGTACTAACATTTCGAAGAGTCTGCTCCCGAGGAGTTAATTATTAATATTATTATTTTTAAACTATAGTAATAAAATGTTAACATATTATTTATTGTAAATTTTAGGTGTTCCTGTAAGAAATGTAGTGTAATGCCAACAACTGAGGAGTGTTTATGCTGTATGGAAATTTTGAAAATTAAAGATAAATTCTTTGAAGATGCCCCAGCTATTGTTGATGGAAATATGAAATGCACTACACAGCATCCTGGATTTAGATCTATCTGCCTTGACATATGGGCATTACAAATGGCCTATGACGAAATTCCAAAGAAAGACAAAAGAGAAGTGACCACACATGAGTAAGCTATTTCTTTATTTATTAAATACTGTAAAAACAAAATATACAAACTAAAAAGCATTAATAAAAGCCATGCATGTTTAAGGCTTAAGTTTAAAATATTTTTTATTTACATAAAATATCGACATACAAGTTACAGAAATTTTGTAAAATGGATATGGGGATACAGAGGAAAACATCAGCGTACTGTAATACCTGCATGTGCCATTATCAAAATTCGCAGCAAATTTCAATCAAAAAAATATGTTGGATTCAAGTATCCACCTTTATAATTTCTGTCTCATCAATGCCAGTTTTAATGCACATTTTTGTCCAGGCAAATATATTTACATTCAGGATACA